AGAAAGCAATCTCTGTTTATAAGAGGGAGTATCTAGCTGAGTTGTTTAGTTGGTCCATTGTCAGCTTTATAACTGGGTATCAGAGGTGGCTATAGTGCTTAGCCATGTCTGTAAGGTCTAGGTACATACGGAGGAAGAAAAACCCAATAAACCCTTCTGTGGGGAAGAGGGACCCTGAGTTAATTTAGCTTTATTATTTTAAATGTTTTTCTCTTAGTGTACATTATTTGTATACAATAATGGGTTCATCTTAACATGTGCATATGTATGCATATATATGCAAAACATATGTTAGTCATACTCACCCCTCTCTGCTACTCTTACCTTTTCTGTTGGCCACCTCCCTTTCTCAGATAGTCCCTTTTCTACTTTTACATTTTTTCTTTCTTAAATCCCAATTCTACATATGAGAGAAAACTTGATTTTCATTATTCTTATTTCAAATAATATAAATAAAATAATTTAATTTGGGCTGGAGATAAAGTCTATAATCACATCTTTTATATTTCCACTAATCTTATGTAATCTGTGGGGCTTTTACAGACTTCAGTCAGATTAACTCTGTATCATTACTAGAAGAAGCCTAAATTGGCTTTGGTAAGACTGAGGCGGAAGCTGTGTCTTCTAGAAGTGCTGGCCAGCTCCTAGAACTTCCTGCCGTTATACAGACAAGACACTTACATTCCACCCAGCTTTCCCACACACCCAGAGGAGCTACAAGCTTTCATTTTCTTCGCTCTCTAGGAAGCAAATTGGATCAATTAAAAAGGAAGACCGTGAAAAATTACTTTAGATTGCATGAGAAAATTATCATCAAAATGTAAAATACTACCCTAAACAACTCTTTAGGGGAGAATGGAGAAAATAGCTCTGCTTATCGACAATTTTTATTTCAAAATCTACATGTTCCAAATGAAGATACTAAAGCATTGTCTGACCAGTCGAAACAGCAGAAACATTCCATGTGTGTGGGAGTAAGCAGAATTTCAGTTTAGCCACAGCCCACACACAACAGTTGTAGGTTGCTGTGGTCTAGTGGGGGTTGTGGGGGAAGAATGGTTCTATATAGGTATCATGACAGCCTTTGCACTTTAAATTTTAAAAATGCATTTTAAAATCACCAGTGAATTCCATGTGATCGCTTTTGTGTTTTTCCTCATCATTGTGAATGAATGTGAGAGCATCTACCATTGGAGCAACACGTTTAATTTGTGTGTTTCAGATTTCTCTAATATTTTTGACCTGTAGTCAAATACAGCAGTGCAGTGTGTAACCATCGTTCAGTGAGTGGCAGATGCTTTTAAGACAGTGGTTCCAAAGGGTGATAATGGGTGTGAAGGATTTTTACTGCAAACATGGGAGAGTTCTTGCCTGGCATGTGTGAAGCCACTTGCCTGGCCCTTAGCATACAAAACAAATGAAACAGCGAAGCAAAATAAACAACAAAACAAAGCAGAACCCTTGTTGCTTGGTGACACCCTAACCCACAGTATGGCTCTGCACTGGGAAGGTGGCAATGCTGGTGTAGGCAGACCGATTCTGCAGCTAGTCAACAGAATGCAACACGTGCAAGCTTGTGCAGCAGACGCCCCTGATAAGAACAGTAAACTGACTACTGTTATGCTTTTTGTCCGTATTTTGGAGGGTATTCTTTCGACTTCTTCAAAAGTTCACTATTGCACTTGTTCAAGGAAGTGCCTCTATGATGTGCACACAGTGGTAGAACCTGTGTTCCTGTAATCAAATAACTCTTGGTTGCTCCATGACTCTGAACAGTTTGTGCCTGAGGACTTCACAAAAGCCTGGGTGACTGAGGAGACGGCTCAGTGGGTAAAGTGCTTGCTGCTCAAATATGAGCACCTGAATGTGGATCTCCAACACTCATATGAAAGAGCTGGGTGTGGAGGCTTGAATCCTACCAGCAGAGACATAAGACAGCAGGATTCTGGGGTTTTATCCAGCCTGTTCATTCTATTCAGTAAATTCCATCTCAAGGAAAGACTCTGTGTTAAATAAAAAAAGTAAACAAACAGGCAGGGTGTCTAAGGTACGACATGAGACCATCTTGTGGCTTCCACATGCAGGTGGACATACAAGCATACACCCTCTCACAAGATTTCACATACATGCATATACATATACACGAAATCCTGGAAGATACTATATATCTCATTTATTAACAAGGTTTCAAATGTGTATGTTATAGTTTGAATAGTTGTTTTCTTCCAAAACTCATGTACTGATGTCCTACCCCACCCAATATCATGGGATTGAGACATGGAACCTTAGGGATGTAACGCAACTGGATATAGCCATAAGACTGAAGAGAAGAGAGAGAATAAGTCACATGATCACTATAGCATGGTAGCTGCTAGCAGACCCAGAGAAGAACACTCTGATGATGAAGGCTGCCCTGCTGGGTACAAACTCTAGAACCATCAAAATGCATGCCCGCTGTTTCAGCCACATACAGCATCACTACATTCCCAAGTGAAAACAGAGAATTTTTCCTGTGGATGATGAGGATAGGTCTCACACTTGGGTGGTGTGGATGGCAGTCACTTTACTGACTGAGCCTCTTCTCCAGCCCCCCAATTACACCTACACTCAAAGCAAGCACATTTTCCTGAACCAAAGGAAACAAACACCCCCAACAAAACTAAATCCAAAAACTTAGTAGGAGTGATATTGTTTTATTTCCTTTACATTCAGTACTAATTTTCAAGCTAGCTTTTAGAAGAGTTAGTCCAATCTAACACTTTTCTTATTTCTTTCCTGAAACAATAACCATAGAAACATAATAACACTAAAGACCTCTAAAACATGAGTTACTGTGATGGAATTTTTGACCTTTACCCCTATAAGCCTGCCATCAACCTTTGAATTAAGTGGTCCCATTTATCTTGGAAAAGTATCTTTCACACTTTTAAGAGAGTTACCAGTCTTAGCAAAAAGAAAATTAAGTTTGTGATAACCTGACACCCATTTCACTTGCATAATTTTCCCACTTTTCACTTCACATTTTCACTCTGAGTCAAGGCAATTAGTGAAAAGTCGGAACATTAGAGTTCCAAATAGAAAGACACATCCATTACCCACCCTCTCAGCTTGATACTCTCAACCTTTTAACAGCAAGCAAAGACCCATAGAGAACTCCGGAGAAACAGTTTACCAAGAACAAATTGGTGCCATTGTTTTTTAGAACCTTTATGCAATTTTAGAGCTGGGATTAAAAACTGCCTTAATTGAGATTTGTTATACAATTTGTGAGCTGGAATTAAATCGTAAGATGATCTATGAAGAAAGCCATTATAACCCGTGTGAAGTGGGATGTAGCAAGCCAGGTTTGGCAGCACTTCCATAAAGGTAACCACAGGGAGACAGAACATTTTCTGGTGTGCATTTTGGTAAGGAACATAAGGGAATCACACGTGGGTGGTGTTTAAACTCAGATCTGGAGCCTTGCTACTCAGGACTCACAGTGAATCAGAAGCTGTGGTGTCACCTGGACATCTGGGAATCGTGCAGAACTCCAAGTTCTCAGGTATCATTGCTAACAGATGAGAGCTTTTCTATTAAACAAGATTTTCAGGTGCGTGTGATGGCTGTTGCGGTTTAAAAGCAAGGACTTAAAAGATTCAAGTAGTCCATCTTAGGAAGATTAGAAGAGGTATTCCAGGTAACAAGTGAGACAGGACCAAGGAGTCAGGACAGTTTGTCTCATTGGAAGTTCAGAAAAAGGGAAGCCTAGAAACACAAAGACCAATGGGACTGATGTGTGTCAGGTATAATCATCAGGCCAGTGTGTTGTGTTTATGTATTTTATCAAGAGAGTTCTTAATTTTATAACATTAGCTAGGGGTTTCTCTAGTAATTGGCACAAACTCTGCATCTGCATAGCAACAAAGCCTACAGTCTCTCACTCTCTCTCTCTCTCTCTCTCTCTCTCTCTCTCTCTCTCTCTCTCTCTCTCTCTCTCTCTCTCTCTCTCTCTCTCTCTCTGAACAACAAAGGTTGAACTTTTCTATTGTCTAGAAGTGGAACTTCCCAGACCTGGCTGTTTCTCCACTTGGCAGAGGACAGATGGGGCAAGAGAAGAGGTTCAGCATCCAGCCAGCAGCGGTGGTGGCTCTGAGGCCAGATCTTAACGTTGTTGAAGACTTTAACAGGCAGTTTTCTGTCAGTTAGCCTTAAGTGTAATAAACAACTATTTTTTTTTAAAACTGAATCTTTTTCTTCTTGCATGTACCGAACTCTGCCAAGAGAAAGGATTATATACACTTTCATACTGGGACAAGGTAGCCAGAGTCTGATGGAATGGCTTTACAAGAAGGGTCTAACATGATTTCAGGCTAAAGATAGCTTGTTCTGATACATCACTTCATACATTATCAATAAAGTCACTTCAGTGAAACACAGAACATTCACAGTTTATAAGTAATTATAAACTAAACGTTATTAGTAATTTACATCCAAATAAGTTAGTAAAAACTGTGCAGTATTTTTATCCTTAAGACAGTGTTCAGATTTTATCTTCAAGTTTATTTGTTTTTAATGGTGGTTATGCTTTTCTCTTTGGTGTCTAAAAAGAAATCAAGCTTCTATCCATACAAAGCTATTAGAGTGTAATTTCAATATATCCATATTGCAAAGACTTGAAAACTTGATTTCCTTTTTACAAGAAATATTTAAGTCAATTTATAGCTGCTACTCAGTAAACCATATCAGATTGATACTCTCTGGAAAATACCATTAACAGTGTAATTGCAGGTCTGGTAATCACTTTGCTTGAGAAAGGGTCATGGCTGACTCTTTCTCATTATGTTTTATAGCAGCAGTGGATTCGCTGTTCAGACAGAAAGTTGTTAAGATGTATACAAACATTAGCTGAATGAAATACAGTCTAGAGGAAGAATTTGCAGCAATGTTGTGATAGAAAACACAGCTCAACCTCTAATTTCTATTTGCACACAGGCTGATGTGCTGGTGTGGGCACTTACTTTCCGATTGTATTGGGTAGCATTGTGAGTTGATTGTCATCTACTTTTAGAGTTGTTAGCTTTTTCAGCAGTCCTGAAACAGAGAAGAAGTTTTATTAGTACACCAGAGTAGGAAATGCCATTGAAAGAAATCGGAGGGATCATTCACGATGAATGCATACGTGCTTCGATTGGCTTTGTTCTGCACATATAACACACAAACAGACACGGGCTAGCTTTAAGCTTTTGTTGTAAGAATTAACATGTCATTGGGAGTAAACATCATCAGAGTAGCTCAGTAAACAAACTTAGGGCCCACACACTTGTCAACTGATGCATCCACATCTCCTTTTCCTGTTTTCCAGAAAATAGACCAGTAGAAACATCCTGAATCCATTGAGTTTTATATTGAATTAGTTCCTAAGCACAGATAACTTATTTTCTTATGATACAGCCTAGAAATAGTTTTACAACAAGAGAGTAACAGTCAAAAAGTGGGAAGTCATGCAACAAAAAGTTTATGATTGTAAGTCATGGAAAATGACCACACTTGAGTTATGTGCTGAGATTCCAGAAATGGTGAACTAGATCAGTGTTAGACATAAACAATATTGTGATTTGTAATGCCTCACAATGAGCTGGCCAGGAGTTAACACTTTGTGTGAGAGGTGTATGTGCTTTTGTGTACAGGTACGTGCATGTGTTTGGTTGTATGTATGTATGTGGCGGCCCAACGTTGGTATCTGGAGTCTTCTAGGATTGCTCTTACACATTCTTCTTCTGTTGAGGCCAGTTATTTCTATCTTGCACAGAGACAGCTTATTTTACTTACCTGGTTTGCAGGTTTGCTCTGGGATCCCATCTCTGCCTCCTGAGGTTGGAATTGTGGGTCTGAGAGTTTATCTGGGTGTTCAGGATCTTAGGTCTAGTTCTCACTTGTCTAGCAAGTGCTTCAACCACTGCACAATCTCCACAGCCATTCAGACACTTATTTTTCACTGTCTGATCTACGCCCTCCACATTTTTTACAGCTCGTTCTCCTTCTATTACCTTCATGTGCAGTCACCACACAGTAATGGGAGAACATCTGCCTTTGGCACAATTATCCCTCTTACCCAACCATCAAAAAGCTCATAAATCAATGTGGCTTCAATAGTCAAACCCAAGGACAAAGTATTAGTACTAGGTTAGTTTTTGTTTTATATGGGAACTATGGGTATATGCTGTAGATTACTGTGTTGTCAGAAAATTTATCATGAAAATGTTAAATTCGTGACCAAATGTCTTTTGAGGGGTGTCAAATTAAAGAAAATTAAACAAAGTTTTTCTAGGACTTTTTGGTATAGTAATATGAAATTGTGATCCTTTGAAACCATCCTGAAGCTGGTTTGTGTGAGTGTGTGTGTGTGTGTGCATGCACACACACTTGGGTGTGGAACATCCATTGACATTCATGCCTTGTGGACATGGTATCAGGATATGTTCACCCCTTTTAGTACTCTGGTAATTTTTTAAAAGTCAGAGGAAGTCACCTGGAGTCTGAAGTAAAGCTGTGGCCGACTTAGGATTTCAGTACAGTTATGTTTTCTTCAGAAGCAGGTGAAGAGAACGGCCCTTGCTGTCAGACTGCTGCAATGAAATTACTGCATCACAGGAGCATAATGCATCGACTTGGAAACAATAGCATGTGGGAAGCAGGGCATTCCCACGTATTGGTGCATAATCGTCGTACTGGTCTGAACATCTCCTGCCCCATTCATCTCTGTTCCAAAGATGTCTGAACCATTTTAGCTTCCCTCGAGCATGTTTTGCAGCATCCGCTCTGGGATGTCAAAGGACACTGGAGTATGTTTATGTTACGAGCGGGGACATGAGTTACAGTGGGAAGCCCGAAGCCTCCATCAGACTGCTGTGCTCCATCTAGCCCACCAGGGGAGCTGTGGGAGCGTCGAGTCTCTTCACCACTGCACTGGGTCACAAGAGGCTGAGGGTTGGATGACCGATAGCTGAGCCCACTCCAGGTCACCACGAGCATTTCCAGATCTAAGGCTTCTGCCGTGAAGCAACGTTAAGGAAAACTTGAGGTAGGTTTGGACTCCAGCAAGAGTTGTCTGTGCAGATTGGAGGCACGGCGCTCACACGAATCTTTACAGCAGAAACAAGCCAGGCCTTTCTGTGCAGCTCGAGTCTGTGGGTTTATAGGAACTCACGGAGACCTGGTCACTCTGCTGCTCACGCATTACCCAAGGGTCTAGTCTGGACTGACAGAGCCTCAGGAGGACCCTGAAAGTGGGCGGAGCACCAGCTTCATGTGGCTCATTCTTCCTCTCCCTCCCTTGTGTTCGCCCTCCCCATATTCTCCTTTTACACACTCTGGGCATTGAAGTATTGACAAAAAGGATGAGGACTATTATTGTCATTGTAGATATTCTTGTATAGATACATAATTAATGTGAATGCATTAAACATTAAAATAGCTCTTTTTAAAGTAGACAATGTTTATGTGGCATTTATACACATTGTAATAGTACTATGAAAGCAAAAGACTCTGTCGCATAAGTTCTCACAGGAACTGACGCTGACTGAACACTCGGCACCTTGGATTGACTAGTGAGCTCCTCAACATGGGCATGTGGTGGAGGTAACGCTACTCCCACACAGCAATGAACAAATGGAACACAGAGCCACACAGCCAGGCGAGAAACTTGAACTCAGGTAACTTGACTGTGGAGCTTCTGTTCCAGTCACTAAGTGAGCATAGTTTGAAAAGTAAAACACTACTCAGCCTCCTCTAGTGATTTTCCTTGCTACCCAAAGAAGCGTTTTATTAAAACCACCTGGAAGAGGAAGAGAGGCCTTTGACTTTTCTTGGAAACAGTGCAGGGAGGGACCAAGCACAGGCTGGTTGTGGAGTGTGTCTCTCAGTCAGCTGGCTCTCAGCTGCAGAACTTGTGTGACAGAGTGGCAATTTTGTTTTAGTTGTATTTTATTGTATTAATTCTATGGAAATTCTTCTCTTATTTTTAAAATTTCTGGTGGCCCAATAGATAATCCACATTTTGACAAGAAAGATGAGGGGCCGTTTCTCATCCAGTTAGTGTCCATGGTCTTTTTGGGCCCCAGAACAAAGCTCTCGTGTCTGTTGGCCAAGAGGGGAATGTCCTGAGGAAGGCCTGTCTGTGTCTACACCAGGCCCTGGGCAGATACCCAGACACAATTTCCCCTGAAATTCAGTGAGACACAAAGGACAGGTCAGTGAGTAATTAGTGTCCCCACATTGCTTTCATTCTGGGAGAGCCCCTAGGGCCTGAAGGAAGGTATTAGAGCAATGAGACCCATCTTTCTGTCTGTCTGCTTCTGCTACCACATGCCCAGCTCTGTGTCACTCAAAGGGATGCCTTACTCCAGTGGAGGGTGACTCTGTGGGCTGCTTTTTAAGGAAAGAATCCTGCTATACTAAGAATGCCTTGTCTTCTGAGATAACTGGCTCTTTTAAATAAAACAGGCTTATTTAACTACATTTGTTCTTTTGCTGTGATTTATGACACATAATTTCTTTGTTTTCTATCCTATGATTGCTTTAACGTCTTTTCTTTCATCGTGTGTATGGATTTTCTTTCAGTTTCCATCCCTCTAGTACTATACAAGTTACACATTTTATCTCTCTATTTAAGTGGATGCATTTTCATTTTTAGCATGCTTATTTAATTTCCTTTTCCTGCATACTTGTGAAGTTCTTTATTTGTCAAGTAAATAGTCATTCTTAGCAGGAATAAATCATCTTTTTTACTAAGCAGAACACAGCACAGGCCAGACACCGTCTTAGCACTGAGAAGTCAGCTATGGACAAACCTTTGTTCTGGGAATCAATGTGTTTTGCCTTCACGCAGTGGTGTGAAGTGGTGCCGGGTGTGTGGAGTCACAAACTACCACTCTGTCGTCCTGAGCAGCTGAGTCTCTTTGTAGCTAATGGGCCTCCTCAGTGTTGCAACCCAGCTCTTCCCACACTCATCTGCTCACGAGTTTCATTTAAGGTGACTAACGTTCAGATTGGAGCCCAGTGTGCTGTCCGCACCAGATGCTCCTGGGATGCAGCTGGGAAGTGTGAGAAGCCTAATGATGGTTGGAGAAACATTGTTTGCGATGTATGATAAATAAAAAGTCAGAAAATTTATGAGAAGAGCTTGTGTGAGTTTGTTAAAACCAGCGTGCTCCATCAGCCTGAATGGATGGTTAAAGTAGTAATAAAATACTGGAGGGAGCATGAGAACTACCCTGCAGTCTCTCTTCAATTGGGCTACTTAGTCTATGACAGTGTTTAAAAGCATCAACAAGCTGCTGAATACATGAAACATCTATTCCAGACAGGTTAAAATCCCCATTTCAAAGTTAACTGAATTAATGATTATTTTCCTAGATGAGACATAATAAGAAATAATATAAAAGTACTCATTATTCAGTCTTTTATAACTCTACCCATAAAAGACATAAATAAAAGACCTAGTGCATGATAGACATACATTTTTTTTTCTGGCAAGCATCTTACAACGTATTAAGAATGATGTGTCTTTTAAAAAATAATGTAACTAAGAATTTATTTTATATTTGTACATTTTTGTGTTATTTACCTGTGATACCAATGTTACAATGTATCCACTGTCACCAAATAGCTCTACATGACAACACTGTGCAATTCAGGAGACTTGAAAATTTTAAGACACACTTACTTAATAGAAACATTTCACTGGAGAGTTGAATTCGATGCTAACGTTAACGGTTCATTTAAAGGTATCTGCAACACACTGTTTTATGATCTTGCCTGGTGAATTTGGTGATTTATTAATGTCAGGCTAGTAATATATTACCTACATGCATAAATAAGTTATACTGCCAAAACAGAAACTGTACACTTGACATAATTACTCACGATAAAATGTTGCATCCTCACCTATGGAGTCAGGCAGCTGTTGTAACATATTGGAGGATAGTAAGAGGTCCTCAAGGGCTTCACATCCGGAAATATCCATGTCAACCGTTTCTATCCTGTTTTTTGACATATCCAGGTATACCAACATCTTTAACTTCCCTATAGACTTGAAGACAGTGCATAAACTCAGGATTAGTTGGGGAACTTTCACAAGGCTCATGAAGCTGTAAAAACCACAATGTTGTGAAATTAATTTTAAAGCCATCATGACAATAGGAGGATATGGAATCACTGACCAAATGTACACTGACTAGAAAGGACACTGGTGCATCCATTTCAAAACACAGAATCCCTACATTACCTACACACCCCACACAATAAAAGCACACATGTACACAAACAGTCACAGATGCGTTATTCTCAGCCGCCAAGTGGCAGCAGCCCAAACCTGCCTCACTGACTAAATGGGTAAGCAAAAGTGGCCTGCCCACATAATGGATATTATTTGGCAGTAACAGTGAATGGAGTGTTGAAATACGCTACGAAATAGATGAACTTTGAAAGGAGCATGTCACAAAAGACCACACATATGCAATGTCCAGACACAAAGTAGAAAAGATTGCCAAAAATGTAGTATTGCTTTTAAGGGTGATGGAAATGTTCTAAACTTAGGTTGTGATGATCATAGAGCATTGTGGGTCTGCTAAAAAAATCCACTGACTGGAAAATGTCTATAAATTATATCTCACTGCAGTGGTTAGAGGTAAATTCTGAGTGAATGCAGCAGTCAGAGTTAATAGTTCTCAAATTTGCCAGTGGAGAACTGAACATTGCAGAGTATTCTTAAGGTTCTAATGTCTCAGAAAAATTTAAAATTCTAATTTGAACTTGATTCTGATAATTAGAATGTGGGACACAAGGAGGTCTTTGCACTCACAGATAAGGACTAGGGGAACCTGGAATGTGAAACACACTGGTTGTTCCTTCAAAGGAGGGAAACATAACCTGTCATCCACCCAGAAGTCTTGGAGAAGATGTATTAGCAGTTTAGTGACCTTTGTGCTATCTGTGTGGCCAAGACGACCCTGGACCCTCCCCCAGAACCTTATCATAAGCTCGTTTTTCCCCCTAGTCAATCTACAGAACCCATCTTTATGGAAGGTATTACATACACTTTACAGAGAGTTTTGATATAGTCATGTCCGATCTTTATTTAGCTTACTTTGTTCCTCAAGGAGATGTATGTGTGCTTTATTGTGTGTATGGAATTGATTACTACCAGGAAAGCTTTAACTAGATTGTGCTGTGCTTAAATATGTCTAAAATGAACTCCTCAGTTCATTTGAACTGAAGTTTGAACCAGCATTGGCTACTTAGTCATATTGAACTGAATTTGACTTTCGACTATGTTGGCCACGGTGGTCACGGAGATCCCTTCATTAGAGGTTAACATTCTGCTCATTCACCAACCCTGAGACTATTATATGCTACTCTCTCTGCTATGTATTACAGACAGCATCATGAGCCAGTCTGGAAAGAAACTTGTCTGGATAAAGACAAAGGCATTTTAAAATTTTGAAACCAATTATTGTTGCCAAGTACAGGCTTGTCTTCAACTCTAAACATTTCCGTTGCCTCCATCCTAGGTCTGTGATCGCAACTGTTCAACACCATCATAGTCAAAACAAGGTTTTTATCTTTAGGTAGTTTACATTAGTGAAGGCAACACCCAAAGAAACAACAGTTAAAGACAGTCTTGATATGCACAAGAAAATTCATGTGGGAAACACCACAGAAGAAAGGGGGAAGGGCAAAGACTATGAAGTAGTTGTCATTTGTCAAGAAAGAGGGAGGCCGGGCGGTGGTGGCACACGCCTTTAATCCCAGCACTCGGGAGGCAGAGGCATGCCTAGTCAAATCAGTAAGCTCCAGGTATAGTAAGAGACGCTGTCTCAAAGCTTAAGTTGGAGACTGATTAAGGAGGACACCTAATATTCATCTCAGGGCTCTACATGTGTGTACACATGTATGCATACACTCACAGTAGCACACAAAAAAAAAAGGAAAAGAGGGAACCTGCAAGAAAGAACAACTCTCATATTTATGGAGAAGCTTGGAAAAACATGACACATTAATAGATTTAATAAGAGTGACTGAAGTTTGTGTTGCATTCAAGCCTGTGAGGAAGTCGTGAGGAAGTCCTTAGCAAAGCTTCCCAAAAATTCTGTGGCTGAGCCCCACAACCCTCAGGTATCTGAGCAGGGGCTGAGGGACTGGGTCTTTGCATCCTGCATTTGTGGATAATTGGAAGAAGGTTACCCGGAATGGGGCTTTGACCTTGAGTGAGGAGGCTTTCATCAGAACAGGGAATCTGAAGAGGCCAGAGAGGCTGCACCCAGTGTTTCCAGAAGCTGGAGAATAAAGTTCTTTATTCCTGAAGGACACATAAGCACACGCTTTCTGTGTGACCTTCCCAGGTTGCTGTGAGAATGGGGGCTGGAGATAAAACTGAATCTGCTTGGACTGGACTAAAGATCCTCCTCTCCCTCCCACCCCTCATTAACTCAGGGCCCCATCCTGCATCTTTAGATGCCTATGAAGCTGTGTGGAAGCAGATGTTAGAGGAGCCGGCCCTCCAGAACAGAGGGAAAGAAAGCAGCAGGTGTCTTTCCCTACCTCAGAAGAACATCACTTGATAAAATCTGCTACTTTCCTATTGATGTCCCACCCCAAAGATGTATGAGCCATGGTAGCTCTCTCTTTCCCAGAGGTAAAGGACCCTGTGTGGTTTTCTGTTGTGTGCCCTTCTCTGTCCTTTAACCAGGAGAAGGCTTTCATCCTTGAAGCTGCTCTCCATGCTGCATTGACCAGCATTTGCTGGGTAGTTTCCAAACATTCTGTGGAAGACAAACAACACTGGGGTATTTAACTTTGAGTCTTTCAAACCTTCTACCAGCACCCTATCCTGCAGCAAAGGTCTGCAGTCCTTGAGAAGGTCGACCTGGTCCAGCACCACTCTAGGTGAGGATGGATCCATGGTGGGAGAATGAGTGACAGATGGGAAGAGTGGAAATCACAGATGAGGGAGATGCCAGACTATTCAGAAACAACAGACGTTCGTGCACCACTTGGTTAGAGCTATATTAACTTTAGATTGGTAGTTGTAAGATGGAGTTTTGTAGAGGATGAAATACTTGGTCGTTCTGTTTACCTCTCTGAGGTATGAAAAATGAGTAACAAACAAGAGTCTAGGCTTCTAAAAGTGTATTTTAATATGTTAGGATGCAAGAGCAAAGGAAAAAGTGGATTTGCTTTTTTCCCACATCTTTTCACGGCAAATACGGAGGGTGATTCATTTTTGAGGATGACTGACAGGTAGCACTTCTGACTGCACGGGAGATGAACAGCCAGTCAAGGTCACATAGAACTGGGTATCAGGCCGAGGTCACATAAGCTGGGAGGAGTGGAGTGTTACACATAGCACATGGCGAAATGTCAAATTAAAGCATACTAAATAAAGTTATCCATGGACCACAGCTGAACTACTGGATTAGATGCAGAAGTTTCAAAAGAGGTTGGACAAGATTTTTGGTCTCACCATTTACTCATTTGCACATTTGGATTTTGCAAACGTCACCACTGCGGAAAGTGTCATGACTCCAATTCTCACCTGTGCCTTCTGCAGGTTCCAGAGACTGCACTGTCAGACACGCTGTGAGGTCAAGCATTGCTGTACAGAAGCAGCTGCTTTGGCTTATAGGCCCAGGGGCTTGCTTATCGGCTCTGTGAACCTGAGCTGCACAGAACCTTCTCATAGGGTTTCTCTGAGGACCCGAAGAGTGAATATTTATAAGCCAGCTAGGCAATGCCTGGCCCAGTATATGCAAAGTAAGTAGCTTTGTGGAAATGAATATATTCAAGAAGCTGGTATAAACTTGCATCTAAGTAACATTCTGACTTTTCCATATCTGCTCAGGAGCTAAGAGGCATTTTATCTGCATTCTCCACGACTGTACATACACTGGCCTCTTTCATTCACAGGGATAAATGCTAAGACAGTCTGTGGATGTCAGAAGCAGTGCTTGTGACTCAGACCTGTACAAACTGTGGCTTTCTCTCTGTATTTGCCTCTAATAAAATTTACCAAGCAAACAGCAACAGCTGCCAATGAAACATCAGAACAACGGACTATTAAAAAATTACACGCGCCAGGCATGGTGGTGCACACCTTTCATCTCAGGACTCAGGAGGCAGAGACAGGTGAATCTCTGAGTTTGAGGTCAGCCTTGTCTACAGAGTTAGTTTCAGAACAAAAATAAATAAGTAAAATTAACAAATCACTTAAATTCATACATTTTCATTTGTGGAATTACTCTTATGTGAGTCTTCCCAACAGTGTAATTGAGGGAGTTGATTGTATGATCTTTGTGATTCTCTGATCACATTAGCAAACAGTTTTGAAAGTACAAGATGTACCGACTTCTATTTATGTCTGTGATGCTGTAGATGCAGCCCTTTCAAATTTAAAAATGTTCTTTCCTCAGTCTTTGCCCAGATATCTCCTTTTGCATGGCCTCGTGTTTGTTCACAGAGAACAAATGTCATGTGCTTGCTCCCTTGAAGTAATTTAAAGAAAATTCAAAAGAAGAGTAAAATTTGCTTTGAGGAAATATTGAAACCTCTGGTTTGAATGAAAAATGATTCCCTCCACTTGCCTGGACTCTTAGTCCAGTGAAAACACCAACATGTGTGTTGAGGTGGCCAGGAAAGGCAGGCGGTGGGGACGAAACCTGCTCCAGCAAGGGTCATGGAGCCATCCCACTACAGGAGGAAAACCTGAGTCTGGTCAGCTTGTATTGGATGCTGCGCAATCCTTGTGATTTCCAAAGGTATAAATGGGTTCTACCAGAGAAGAAGCAGAGAAAGCCCTTTGCTTTGTAGAAGAGCCCTAACAAGAGGAAAAACAGCTGTACTGTTACCTGTGAGAATAAGGTTGCTTTTGTAAAACAAAATGTGTTTTAAAAATTCAACCAAGAACTTATCAGCTTTTAAAACCCAGTGAGAAGAATAAGGGACATCAAGGGAAATCTCAGCTTTTCTGTTTTTGCAGTTCATGATAAACATAGAATATTTAAAACAATTTCATGAGAAGCACTTGGTGACTGAAGCCCCCAAAAGTGTTAATTTGCTTTCCAAGCACTGAGAATGGAGATGTGGGATTAATAATTAAAAACATAACCAACCTGCAGCAGGTCAGAACACACTCATGGCAAAGCTTACGTACCCCAGGCAGCACTTGCAATGCATTGTTATCCATCCATAGCTCCCTTAAATTCTGTATTTGATCCAGAACTTCAGGCTAGGTGAGAGGCAGAGAGAAAGAGAGAAGAGACAAATCAAATCAGTTTTCCCTGATCACATTAGATGTCACTTCTTGAATCTTGAGCTTTTGTTTAGGAATTTATTATTAGTCTAAAAATTTGCAAGTTTAACAGACCTCCAAAAAAATCCAAAAATAGGGATAGGGGACCTAGAATTACCTGGAAATTATCAGAAAAATTTCAAATTTCAAAAATTAAGACCTATTACCCAGGGATATTAACTTACTTCTTTAATATAGTCCAGTTATCTTTTATATTGTTAACTGTTCTTTAATTACTTGGGAAATTTATTCTTCACATAAGGCAAGCTCTTTTCTTTTAAAGATTTTAACTTTTACTTATTTTCACGTGTATGAGTGCTCTACCTGCATGTATTTCTGTGCACCATACGTTTGCAGTACCTGTGGAGTTTAGAAAGCCTGGTATGGGAAATGGAGTTGCAGACGGTTTTGAGATTCAGTGTGGATGATAGCAATTGAATCTGGGTCCTCTGAAAGAGCAGTCAGTACTCTTAACTGTTGAGCCATCTCTCCAGCCCAAGTGACTTCAGCATTTGACAGCCAAGGCACTACTCTTTTGTAACACTGTACCTTTACTGTAGCTCTTTGCACACAATCGGTTCTTATTTTGTGTGTCTGTGCACCGCACACATATGCCCATGGGCACACAACATTGAAGAACTGTGACATGATAGTCAGAGCTTTTTGCTTTCTATCCCTTCATTTTTGTCACCTAAGAACTACTGTTTATGAACTGACTTATGAGTCACTTCTCTGTGTAGGTCAGGCTGGTTAAACTTCCCCATCCCCAAGCCCTGTTTGCCTGAGAAACCTAGGTGATGCTGGGTAAATAGATCTACAAAATAGGTATGCAAATTAGGACTTTACTGATAAATAGTTATAAAAAAATTATTTTAAAACATTTTTTGGTACACATATGATTTTAGGACTTAGTAAAGGATAAAGCAAATGTACACAATAGCAGAATGCTTATTTTAAAGTAAAGAATTAAGCTTCCAGATATGTGATAATGTAGAATGTACAGCGTCATCAATGTTTTTCAGAATTGATTGGTACTTTGATTTTATAATAATGCTAAGAATGTTGCTTTACACACGCCCCTTAGAAAATGGAAGCCATTTTTTTTAAATGTTGGAAATTTTATTCCAATCTCCAGCCAGAATTCACTAGATGCAGTTTTGCAAATGACTTGGTTTCTTCTGAATGCTCAGACCGCTGGTCCTTAAATTGTTTTTCACTCTTTACCCTTTCAGTTTTGGGGGAAGCATCTAAAAATCTGCAACACACAAAGGAAAACCTAACTTCAGATTAAGAAACTTTCTTCCACTCTTACTTAAATCTTTTATTTAACTACACACTTGCTTTATTACAAGCCCTTTGGCTCTCACAAGTGGCAAATGTTTTATTCATGAATTTCATAGCCCTCATTTGAAACCCCGATACACAAAATTGGATGAATGAAATTGCTCAGCACTTGATGAAAAGCCTACTTATGATTCTCTCAGTCATGATGTACAACATGCCTTGAGATTGTCTAACCTCTTCAGTTAATTTCTTCGGAGACGGAAAGGTCACCTCCATAGGGTCTGAGCCTTTTTCAAGGTTACATTAATTTTATTCTTCTCTGCTTTGTTTCAGAATCAATCCCACTAAAATGCCCATAAAAATTTAGAGCCTTGTTTTAATACATCCATTTGCATTAATATATAGGAAGAAAATGATGTTATGTTTCAGTAATTGTTGAGAGAACAAATAGGTATTCTAGTGACAATAATGAAAGGCGATGCTGAGAAAATGTAATTGATTCATAATTAATTGAAATACTTTAAGCCATAAGCTCTTATGAATATTTTAATGTCTATGAGTTTAATATATCCCATTTAAATACTCAGATGAGTCTATTGATGGAGTAGGAAAAAGATAACATGTTGTGGGAAAGGTGCACCAATATGTGAAATGATAAAAATTAGCATAACAAAGATCTGAAGATGCAAGAATGCTGGCCAGTTCTCAAGAAGTAACAGTAGAGGACTGAGTGGAGTCTTCTGTGCCTAGACCAAGTCAGAAGCAGGGAACAAAATTGAGAATTTAAGTCTAGAGTGATCTTGGTGTTCAGTGTGAATCCATTCACTCCACAGACAACCCCTCCACACAAGAAGACGCCATAGCACCTGGGAATGAAATCAGACAGGGGTGGGCTGGCTTGTGTCTGTTTCTTTGAATGTCCTTGTCTGTAGATGCCAGGAGATCATGCGTGAGTGACAGAAGTTTACTTCCTCTGGATGACCAACTGCAAAGATATCTTCAACAAGGTGTAGGTATGCAGCATGTCTGGAGATAGCACCAGGGACACATGGCTAAGATGGCCCATGTGGTCTGGAGTGGAGAAGAATGGTTGCCACAGACACTCATCTTTTTTTTTTTTTTAATTTTCCATGGTGTCATTTATTTATTTATTTATTTATTTATTTATTTAATTGAGCTATATATTTTTCTCTGCTTTCCTCCCTTCTTTGCCCTTCCCCTTCTACCCTCTCCCATGACCCCCATTTACTCAATTTACTTAGGATTTCTTGTCTTTTTCAACTTCCTGTGTAGATTAGATCTATGTAAGTCTCTTTTAGGGTCCTCTTTGTTGTCTAGGTTTTCTGACATTGTGAATTATAGGCTGGTTTTTCTTTGATTTATATCTAAAAGTCATTTATGAGTGAGTCCATATTATATTTGTCTTTCTGGGTCTGGGTTACCTCATTCAATATGATGTTTTCTAGATCCATCTATTTGCCTGCAAATTTCAAGATGCCATTATTTCCCCCACAGTGTAGTACTCCATTCTGTAAATATACCACGTCTTCTTTATCCATTCTTTGGTCGAGGGACATTTAGGTTGTTTTCAGGATCTGGCTATAACAAACAATGTTGCTATGAACACCATTGAACACATGTTTTTGTGGTATGATTGAGCATCCTTTGTGTATACACCCAAAAATGGTATTACTGGAGCTTAAGGTAGGTTGTTACCCAATTTTCTGAGAAATTGCCATACTGACAACCGAAGCAGCTGTACCAGTTTGCACTTCTACCAGCAAAGGGAATGTTCCATTTACCTCACATTCTCTCCATCATAAGCTGTCATCAGTGTTTTTGGTCTTGGCCATTCTTACAGGTGCAAGATGGAATCTCAGAGTTGTTTTGATTTGCATTTCTCTGATGGCTAAGGATGTTGAGCATTTCCTTAAGCACCTTTCAGCTATTTTAGATTAATTTGTTGCAAGTTCTCTGTTTAGGTCTGTACCTCATTTTTTTTTATTGGTTATTTGTTCTTTTAATGACCAATTTGTTGAGTTCTTTGTATATTTTGGAGATCAGCCCTCTGATGTGGGGCTGATCAAGATCTTTTCCCCTTCTGTAGGCTGCCATTTTGTTTTGCTGACCATGTCCTTTGCTTTACAGAAGCTTCTCAGTTTCAGGAGGTCCCAATTTTTAATTGTTGCTTCTAGACACTCATCTTTAAATGTAGCAGAGATGTTATAAGAAAGCAGGACTGGTTTCATCTGATTCCACAGGTGGGCCAGAAATAATTATCAGAGTCACAGGGACAGAATAATGTCTGCATCAGTGGATAGGGACTGTTCCCAGTTAGATGTGTCCAAAGGAAATAATCTAATCTGCTTTCAGATACAGTGACCCCTCTACCAAATAAACATGTAGCTGCCTAGGACAGCATAAATAATAAAGTAACCAACAACAAAAGCTAACACTTGTTGGGCACTCATTATAGTAAGACACTTTTAAAAGTTTTTGTTTGTGTTTTTGAGATAGGGCTTCAAAAACACCAGGCTGTCCTCGAACTCACTGGATACTGGCATGTGCCACCATGCTCAATTTATGTGATGCTTGGATGCTACGGTCCTTATGCATGTTTGGAAAACTCCATCAACTCAGCATCAACACCAGCATCAACACCATCAAGGTGTTTTTCCATGGATTGTTTTCACTAATGCATTTTAAGAAATCTTTGAGGGAGGTGTCATTGCTGATGGGCAGCAGGAATAACATTGAGGATATGCGCTTTGGGGTGGGCAGAACCCAGCTGTCACTTTCTTGGCTCATATTCTTCATCAGTACTGGTAATGAGAGCAACTGTACCGTCATGAGGAGAGTTCTGAGAGTTTTTGTTTGCATCAATCCAATTCTATTGTTACAGAAAATTATCCAGGGGTTGGTAATCTATGAAGTAAAGAGGTTTACCAAGTTCCCAATTCTGGTGGCTGCAGGCCTCCATTTCTTCAAGGTCTCTCTGGCTGTATCACAACATAGAAAAAGACAGAAAGAGAACCAACCACAGGATGAAGGGAGGGAAAGAACAAGCTGGATTCCACTACAGCGGCTTGTTCTCCTGGGAACCAGCTCATTTCCATCTGAGAACTACATTAATTTCTGTCAAGGGCAAGGCCTTCAGTGACTTAATTTTCTCCAGTCAGGCTCTGTCTCTGAAAGGTTCAGTCACCTCTAAGCACTGTCACACCCAGACTAAGCTCTTGAAAGATGAACCTTTGGGGAAAATGGCTTATCCATGTCCAAACCACTTGGTGCTCAGTGTTGGTGAGTTAGCTTTAATCTCCATTTCATAGGGACGGGAGCCTAAAGGAACCAATGAATGTGCCCCAAGTTATATAACTAACACGAGGCACACTAGCTTGACCTGAAAGTTATGTGAGTCATGGTGCTATATTTCAGGAGCAGAGAATCATCGTGGGGAAAATTGACAGGTGGTTCATATGCACAAGGTGTTCCTTAGGCAGACTCGTAGTAGGAAGAGGTCAGATGCTGGAGTTTTGTTTTGAATTCTTTGACAAATTCACTCAGCGTTCATTAGGTCCTATTACACCCCAGAATGGAAAAATAACAACACAGAGTAGTCCCCTTGGGAGTTAAGTTCAGGTAGTTCATGTTTC